TTTGTCAGGAGAACCTTCTACTTAGTTCTCTACTGGTGAACAGTAACAAAGCAATCCACTACTGTAAAGCAAAATTGTAAAAACAAATCCTAGCATCCACTCAAAGTTATTCTGGTAAGGAGCACATTTAACTGAAATGTCATTAAGAAACAGAAAACCTTTTGACTATGAAGTTCTTAATGTTGTCCTGCACTGTAACTTACTCTGAAAGAGTAAGAAAATCCTACAGTTTATCTAAAGAAGAGTTTTTCCTCCTTTAAATTCAACTGTTGTTTCAACACAAATCAAGTTTTTAAGATGACTGGAACAGTAGGAGCCCTGGGTTCCAGCCATGTGTTCTCTCCACTAAGCTATTGTTTTCCATACAAAAATATGGCAGAGATGCTCTTGGTTAGGGTGTTCAGAGAAAAACAAAAAAAGCCAAAAGATCAAAATCAGGATTTTTGATTGGCAACTCAAAACTGGTCCTTAAAGTCCTGCTGAGTGAACCATCAACAGCTCTAGAGAACTTCCCTTTGCAATGGGCCATGAAGCAAGGCAGTCAGTACGTCATCTTGGCAGCACCAGCTGGGTGGACAGTTTCCATCTTCCCTGCCAAACGACTAGGTCTGAGATTCCTGCACATCAGGAGCAAAAACTTCCCACATTCCTGCCACTGCTGGAGCTTCAAAGTGGCCTGATTTTATCCAGTCCTCTTCAAAAAGGAAAAAAATCCAGAACAAAGTCAAGTTCCATCAAATCCTGTGAAGAATCGTTCTACTCAAAACAAAGAAGAATCAGACTGACAAACCATAACAATATAAAGAACTTTTATTTTTCTTTTTTTTTTTTCCTTCTTCCTTTGCTGTGTAAAGTTTCGCTAGTACGCTCACAACTTTGTACCAAAGTGAAAGAAGAAAACCAAGGTCAATCTGTGCACATGTTCTACACAGCCTGAATTATTAAATATTCAATTATATCGTTTTATTCCACTTCCATTCTTCAAAAAGGCTGTTTAACACTTACAGCAAAATGAAATTTGAGAAGCTGGCAGGCGCATATAACAGAATATATACCTACACAGTCTGCTCTTTACTTTCACTATTAAATATTTTACAAACAGTAGCTGAAACCATTTCCTTACCCTTCCTCACATGTTCTGCAACTCTGGACAACTTAGACTGTTTGAATAATAGTACCGTACAAGCTTGAAAACCAAGATTCATCTGTACCTGTGTTTTAATTCAAAAGAAGGGAAAAATATTTTCTCAACACCACATTTTTGTTTCTGGGAACCTGCAGTTTATTGCAAGTTTTCAGTTATCGTTTACCTAATGTGTGCATCAAGAACGGCACTATTTCAAACACACTGCACAGCCAAACTCCTGCTATTTTGCAGAAGTCAGCTCATGCGCTGATAATACGTCTAAAGTCTGCAATCCACACAGAAGTGACACAAGGCAAGCAGAAGCTGGGATATTTAATACATCTTTGTACCAACGGATGCAGCAGTTTTCCCTCTGGCCCCTTCCACACACAGAAGCAGCAGCGTTAGGCCATGAAGTATTTTGCACTGTCAGTTAACTTATTTTTCCCTGTGATTTGAAGGAAAAAAGGAGCAATGAATCTAGACCAATCCTAGCATTGTCTTATCATTCAACACACGCGAGGCTGTTGGGAAAGGTTAAGCTTTGCAGCACATGTGAACTTTAAGTGATCATTTTATGCTACTCACGCCCTCCTTTTGGAGCTTGGGCAGGACTTGGCACGCCTATGGCGCAACAAGTTCTCAGGATTTTGAAAAGAATGATATAAGTGGGTTTAGTAGCGCCTGGCCCATTCGTTGTATCATAAAAGACCATAATACCTCTAAGCACTTTCTGTCCATTGAGGAGTCTCATACCTTAATAAGCCCACTGACACTCCTGCTAAGAGGAAAATGGCGGCTTGCCCCTCAAAGGGCCTTGCATATTTAGTCAGCTGTATACCAAGTCCAGAGCTCATTATTTAACATGTGACTAATAAAATAAACACAGCTAACCACAAAATAAGCCCTCGCTCTATTAACTCTTCCACCCACAACTTTTTACTTGCATAAAAAAACAAACTGAAAACAAAAATAGTCCTGCAACTGGCTTCAGAGGTGCCGTACTGCTTTTTCAGGCAAATATTATTCTGTTAAATGTCACAAATATTCTGCCTTCCCAAAGTTATTACACTCTTCGACTGGAGGTATATCAGGAGTCAAAACCCTAAGCTGCAAGACCAGAGAGGATCTCATTAATGGCTCCAAAGCCAATATATTAGTTTACCACCTCTCTTCTGCTACTGCCTCCGGAAGAAGTGAACAGCCATTAGTGAAAGCTGCACTGAATTCCAGCTGAACAGGCAGGAAACTTCCCCACAGAACTCCAGGGAAGCCTAGGGATTTCCACAGCTGCACAAATTCATAGCAAATCCTTTTAAGATATTCTCAGGACAAAGCAGCACAGCATTTTCTTCTGAACCCCTGAGCAACTTTTAGAATTGTTTTTAATTTATGAAACAAAATATTATACACACTCATGCAGCTCTGCTATTTTCCTGCCTCTTATCCATTTTAAGATTCTTACAGTATATCTGAAATGACCTACAAAGTAGCAAAAGACACCATTGCTAAAGCTAAAGCTGGATTTCAGAAGTCCAGACTTTTCAGAAGGACTGTTTTCAAGGACAGATAAGGAAATGTCATGGACTACAAGAAAAGGAAGTCTGCTTCCACCAACTAGAAAATATAAACCCAACAAGCAATCAGGAATGCAAATAAAGTGTAATAACTGTGTTTGTTGCAACACCTAGTGAGAAAGATCTCTATACGTTCCTGAAAACAGCTGAAGGAACGTGAAGAATCACAAGGAAGAAGTAACAAAACCTACTCTCACACGCCATTTTTCAGAAAGCTACAATCACTCCACATGCTTGTCCTCAGGACACACACCTCCAGAGCTTCACTTCAAGCATAGCCCACAAAGGACAGCTTGAGACATTCACATTGTTTATGCCACACTTTTACATGCTCCCTCATTGTGGTTCAAAAAAAACCAGAAAAACTCTTGAACATCAATAATTTTGGAAATGGTTTAAGTATTATTACACAGTCTTCTGCTTTTAGGTCATGAAAAAACCAAATACTCTCGGAGACTCTAGAGCAAGACAGCCTGCATCAGAAAACATTTACACTCCTCAGAGATTTCCCTGAACTTGATTCTCTCTTGAATTGCTTCATCCACAGACCACAGAAAGAAAGGGGGGGAAAAAAGAAAACCAAACCCACAAACACACACCCCAAAAACTAAAACAAAAACACCCTCAAAACAGCCTGGGGTCTGAGCCACATACTGGGGTTTTTTCCTGTCCACAAACAGCTTAATAAAAAACCCAAACAAATCACCACAAAAACACTGGAACCTCAGAGACTTCCATGTCTCTGAAGTAGGATGCTACTGCATCTCATTCCTATTTTACACCTGCCTCACAAAAAAATCATCCATGTCAAGGAATTACAGTGAAATTATGCTTGTCCGCTAAAACAATACAAAAATGGTGTGCTTCAGAGAAGGCCCTGAAGTTCCTTGATTTGATGGCAGAATGGAACATCCATGGGCTTCCCTCAATCAGTTTCTTGGCCTAAAAAGGCTTCTTTATAGTCAAAGAATGAGGCTATAAAACTTACGTGGTCTATGGTTGGCATACCAAGCCTCAAAGTAGTGGTGAAAGAGATGCCCAGTAAAAATAGTACACGCAGTTTTTTTGAACAGCGCTGGATTCATTTATAAGCAGCTCAGTTTCAACACTGGGCTGTCTTTACCTTCTGTTACAGTTTAAGGAAACCTCTGCTTTATTTATGCTGAGCAGCAAGTTCAGCAAAAGTGAACATAAAGCTCCTTGCTAGATTAGTCTCACTGTTTAACAGAGCTCTTTGCTAAGTAAGTGTCGCTATGGGAGAGAGGATCGCAAATGCAAGAAGTACATTTCACTGAATTTAACGGGTAATGTTTGCCACCCCGAGGGACACCTGCAGAGGAATCCTGACAAGTAGAAACAGTCTTCCCCTCTGCGCTGGCTTCTCTGTGGTGCCTTCTGTGCATTAGTAGAAATAAGACTTTTACACACGATATGCATTTTGTATCCTCAGCTTCTGCTTGAGAACTTTAGACTTTAAAATCCTGCTCCATTCTTTCCAGTTGAGTTTTTATGAACTTGATCTAGCCCAAGCCAATTAAGCCAGTTCACAACAGAAACAAAACACTACCTAAGTGGATGCACTTAGACAGGCAGTGTCTTTCCATTTCTCTTGGTTTGCTATGCCATGAAGAAACAGGACTGCAAAGCTCAGTCACTAAGATTCCAAATAAAATCAGGAATCCAATTATGGTGTTGTATCAAAATAGCCGTGGTTATGCTGGTATTTAGCTATAACAAAAGCCGACAGCACTTACTTTTTTCCTGTACATAAGGACCTATATTTAAAAAGACTAAGATTGCAAAGCATGTGAGTGGAGCCACTGTTCTGGCTGTTTTGTTGCTACTGGCATACCTCTCAAGAAATAACTGCTTTCCTCCAAATAAACAAAATACCTCAGGAGGTATAGTATTTAGGGCAGTCTGTCACTGTATATATTGTGCCAGTTATAGCAATTTTTACACAAGGAATAAAAAATAAGTTACAATTAACATTAAAAAAATTAATTTATTCCAGTTCTCCATAAAATACCTTTTCTTTTTATGAAGAAAGTCAAAATGTACACTGGATATTCAGGCTACACTGTTAGAATTTGTGATATTCTGGTTTGCAGAATTTTATTAAAATTGGCTAAAAAAATTGGATACAACATAAAAACAGACATGTCTTAGACACTTAACAGGCTTCAAGTTGAGTTTGCAAACACCAGCACCTATTGTAATCTAAGTTCTCAACACCCCTCTGGACTTCCCAAAGACTCTCAGACTACGCTTCTTAAAAAAAAAAAAAGAACAACAGAAAAAACAAACAACAAAAAAACAAGGCAGACAAGAGGAGGGAATATTCTTATCTGTCAGTGAATTAAAAACTTGCAAGAATCTTCCATTTGGGCTAAGTCTTAACTGACCAGCCTTATTTCTACAGAGTGCAACACAACCTGCAGTCTCTGTAGCAAGGCATTTCAGCCCCACTCCATTTCTGCATTCCACGTGGGAAAAGAAAGGAAAGACTGGAGTAAGAAACTGGTGTTATTTGGAATAATTCTGACATATAAAATTACTTCCCAATGTGGGAGGTGAAAAGCTTCATGAGTCAATCCTGCTGTCATCCTCAGCATGTCTTTCAATGTGTCCTACAGCATCCTAGGAAAGAACCAGAGAAGTCCGTTAATAACAATAATAATAATGATGATAATAATAATAAAATAACAAAAAAACCCACAAAAAACTTCACAAAAGATTCTTGAAGCCTCAGTGAAAGTGACATTCTGGATAATATATATTTTTTGGCTTAAAGCATCTAAAAAAAAACATTTAAAAAAAAACCAATGCCAAGCTATTAAATCACATATATAAAGTATCTCACATACCACATGATTCAAGGCAAATAAAAAACAGCTTCCTTTCCGATTAGAAGGGCATATCGAATAAACACATCATATCCAAAGCCAGTGCTTAAAGAGAAATTAAGGCTTCTGTTTCTTTGTTCTCAAAGAAACCTCCTTCCATTGTGTATTTTGAAAAGCATTCAACAGGAAGCTAGTTTATATTGCCAAGGAGTAAAATGTGGATTCTACCAATCAGTCTACAGGTAACAACCCTCCTTCCATCCACCCCCAACCCTTTCCACATCACTTAATCCAACTGGCATCCAACTCTTATTCCTTCTTCATTTCTTTTTTCTCCATCTGTACTAACATTTACTCAGAAATTTATGCATTGTACTTTTTTTAAAGATTGTTAGCAAAACCAATCCTGTGTGAAAAATAAACAGCATCAGCATCCACAACAATGAAGGGGGGCAGTGATGGATAAAAATTAAGAGGATAAAAATCTGTTTCGAGACTGATGGTTGTTCATCTTAAAAATAAATTTTTCCTACAAAAAAATTTAACATCTTGAGTATAGTTACTAAAATTTCTTCTAATATTTCAAGAATTTTACCATTTTCATGTAATATTTTAGGATCAAACTGTTTTAAATTGACTGTATCTCAAGTTATCATACTTAGCTGCACTCGTCGTCTGTCACAGGTTGAATTGAACCCTATTAGCCTTGTATGACCGTACTGTGTGCAGTTAACCCTGTTAAGACTAGAAGAATTTAACCCTTTTTAAGAGAAATAGGATCAAGTCCCACAGTTGTGGTGATACAAAGTACTTTATACTACGAAATACAACCATGTCAGTTCAACCACATACCTGCTTGGAACCTTTCCTGGAAGTAAAGAAAGCATCACAGTTCTTCCAACGACATTTTAGGGTCTGAAAATTTGGGTTGGTGTGGTCAGTTAGCAAGTGTTGTTTCAGATGGTCCACAACTCCAAAGATCAATGAACATCCGTGCCACTGGTAGAAAAAACCATGCCAGAATAAGCCAGGGGAAAAGAATTTTAGCAAATGCTCTTCTTCTTGCCACTTGACAATATTCTACCGAGACTGTTCACACACATGCCACCTCCTGTAACTGTTTAATCTTGTTATTCCATTTCCCTTCTCAATGGTCTCTATTCCTTTAATTACAGCTTTACAGAGATTCTTCCTGCCTCTAGCCCAGCCTAGACCATAAGCAAGAATGGCAGGAGGAAGAAAGGAACTAAGTCTTTACAGGATTTAAGCTTACCTGAGACAGAGTCATTGGGAATTTAATTAAACTTATTTAGCAGAGTAAATCAGCTTTTCTGTGTCACTCAGCTGAAGTTTTTGGTTTTAAACAGTTACATGTCACTATCTAAAAATTGCCACAAAAGAAAAATAATTTAAGATGCTGCTACCAACTTTCCCCAAAGCATACAGACATACTAAAGACCACGTAAAATGGAACTAGTGATATATACTTACATTTAAAATGTATATACACATTCTAAAAATATTATTGAATTATAATAAATTAAAGGTCAAGCTATCCAAGACTGAGTAGTGACCACCCCCAGAAAATTAGTCTAAGAACTATAACAAAGGAAGGCTAAAAACATTTTGTTCATTACCCAGCAACGATAATTCTGCATCAGATTAAGCCTCACAGCTCTGACACTGCCATCATAGCATCCAGTGTAGATCTGTAAAAGAAACGTTTATGGATAAGCAAGCTGGGAATAACAGAAAAAAAAAAAAAAAGAAGTAAAATTTTGAAGGAGGCTTCAGTGTAGAGTATATTAGGTGAACAACAATAAAATATCAACATGCAAGGCTTCTAAATTTAAAAAATGGGTCTAACCTAATTCTTTTGGGATTTGCATTCATAGTTTACAAAAACCTACTAACGAATAAGAAATGTTTCCATAACTTTTACACACATGACACTATCAGTGATAGAAGGTCAGAAAACTTTAAAATGTAATGTTATTATCCACTGAAGTGAAAAAAATTTTAGGTGTAAACGTCAAGTTCAATATATTTCCAGGACTTAACCAGTTACATGTATATCAAAAAGGGATGGAGAGAAAGGGTGAGGAAGAACATCAGAATTTCAGAAAGAGAAGCCTGATACAGGTCCTGAAAAGGCAGGCAAAATGACGTCTTAAAAACCACTTTTGTTAGGCCAATGCTCTACACAAAATTGTCCTTTGGAAAGTAAAGGATGTCAGATGCTCGTAATCCCATAAAGAACATTCATCATTAAAAAAAGTCCTCACATAGTACAGAAAACTCTGCAAGCTGAAGATTTCATTTGTTATTTTTGTTCAAGTCCTTTTGTCTCTTAGAAATTCATCACTAGGATATAACAGCCAATCTGCTGTTCGTAAGAGACTACACGTTACTATTAAAGACTACTACAGAAAATTATAATCTTTCACTCATCACTAAGCTTCTCATCTGAACACTTCTTGGATTTGAGAATGCCCAGACCAGACTATTGCTGGGGGACAGTTCAAGTCTCGGACTGTAAGCACAAAGCCTGAGTGCACTTAGCTCGCTCTCTCACTCACATGAGACGTGAAGCTTGGGCAGTATGTATTCCAATTAGTAGGAGATCCGTTCTGTTAAGACTTGATTCTTCTGTTATTACAGAGCATTACTATACCTCTTATTTTACAATCTGAAAGAAACTAATTCCTACACATGCAGGCAAATAAGTGCTTTTAATGACTATTTTAAGTAAGTTATTTATCCACAAGTGCTTTTGAAACATATCTGACAGTGCAAATGCATGAAGAAATCTGTGCAGCTAAATTGATTACATACTGTTGCTTAGGTTTTATCAAAGGTTACTAGAGGTTTGACTGTGGGTGAAGTTTTTCTCCAGCATCTGTGTAACTCTCGAGTAAAAGTCAAAAAGGATTGATGCTTGAAAAGAGGGAATATTTTACTATTTCTAGCCTCTTCATTGCAATCATCCCTGTAAACAGAACTCTTGTTTTAAGACTACAGTAAGCTAGAATGTATTTTTTCCCCAGACAATAATATTACACAAATACAACAAAGTTTTGTAGCAACTTGATTTTTTGGCTGATAAGTTCCTCTGTCTTAGTCAGACAGCAGGTTGATTTCATTATCTAAAAAATTTAAACTATCTTGTATATACTTGTGGAAATTACAACTTTCTCTTTGAGACCAGTGAAAAGAAGGAAGTTACCATGCTCTTATGGATGGTCATACACATGATCATATCTGTGTGGCCTCCATAGACTTGCAAGCGGTCGTGTGACTTGAAAGAGAGAGAGACAGACATTTTAATAGCGTGACAGTTAATAGCCATTTTTCACAGACATGTAAATGACAGTGCTTCCAAAAGCAGTTTCCTGGGTAGCAACTAAACTCCCCTGGTGGATTCCAAACTTCATAGCCACCATGAAAACTCACTTTTGCTGACATTACTCCTGTGAGTCTTTTTGTCCAACTAAGCACTTGGTCTTTCAAGCAGACAAAACTGACATGTCCCCACTTTTCTGAGCTGTCATTATGTTAGCATAACTCAGGTTTTAAAGAAAATGGTTTAAGTTATATTCTTTAAAACCCATGTATTTTGGCTAGTGAGACAACTACACATTTTGAGTGACAGGAAAGAGAGGGATGGGCCAGAGACCAGTAAGTACAAAGATCACTTCTATTTGACTTCAAAATCGTTAATTAACACATATTAGGTAAATGTCATTAGCAACCATCTATTTTCTTACCTGTAATTCATAAACACGAACAAATTTATCCAGACATGCTGTCACCATCACTTTCCCAAGAATGTTCACAACCGTTACTGCATGGTTATGGCCTTTATAGATCCGCACCAGCTCTCCAGTCTGCATCAAGAAAAAACAAAGGCAAATAGGTGTGATTATTTTTGTTGTGTGTTTGGTTTGGGTTTTTTTGGTTTTTTGTTTTTTTTAAAAAACAACAAAACAAGAGAGTTTTACCTAACCTAGATAGGGTAGCTAGCTTCAATGCTCACTACTCAAAAAATGGAAACACCCTTTATTAGACTTCCACTTCCTGTGAAGGCACTTCTAGATTATGATCAAATACAACTTATCCTTTTCTTTGCCCAAGTTAACAAAGAGCCATTCCAGTACAACAGAAATGCCTGCCACTATGAAAAGTGTCTACTTCTCTTTCCATCATTAGTTACATGTTCCCACCTATCCTGCAACTAGTACTGTGCTATTAGTACTAGCAGTATTTATGTAGCCACAAGGATCAGCGAGCAAATTTAGTTAAATACACAGAAATAAACAATTTTTTTGTCAATTAAAATTTAACTCTGATAAGTTTCTTAATCTAACTTACTGCATAGCTACATGAATGCTTCTGCTAGCACAGGGGAAAGATGGTGTAAAAGAGGAAGAGAGCAGCAAGGCTAGAGAGAAAGCATTCACAACAGAATAACAGCTTTTGAACCAGCTAGTTTGGAACGCTGTTTGTGTTCCTCAAGTTTTTCCTGTAATAAAGAAACTCTTCCCCCACCAGAATCTCTCACATGGCTTTGCTCTGAACCCTTTCCACATTATCAGCACGTTTGTAGTAATATTTGCAAAAGCAAGATGCCCAGATAAAAAGGCATTGCATATCATATTACAAGAGTCAGCATGATTATGTTTCCCAAGGTGTTTTATCCTCTGCATCCCTCCTTAGTTAGCTATAGTGAGTAGTCACATTGACAAATCATATGACTTCCTTTTCTGGAAGCTATTCTGCCCCACCAGCCAGTCAAAAATTCTGGAAATGCTGACTTTATAGCACAGGAATTCATTGCCTTAATAGCAAAAGTCATTCCAGCTTTATATATGAGACTTACATGAATGTTGTGGGCATGGACAGACTGATCACTGGAGCCACTGAATACCAGATCATTCACAACCTGGGCGGGGGGGGGGAGGAAGAGAATAGTGTTATTTTTGTAACAAATATGGAAATGGGCAAGCAAAACATTTAAGATGCTGTTCAGTTTAAAGTTACACTGTAATATTTCCTAAATTTGACAGTCTTAAAATCAACAGAAAGTATGAGGAAAAAAAACCCCATGCACCAAGTTCTTTACATAAGAGCTAGAAAATGCACTATGCTATCATAATGACTTTTGACGCTTCACAATTGACATTAGAAGCTGTTAACTTGCAGCCCACCAGGCTAACTTGTCCTACCTATAGACTATTCCCAGGGACAGCTCAACAGCAGATCAGGGACCAAGCAAACTGAATGCAGAATGCTGCTCTGCACGTGTACAGTAAAGTCCATTGTTTCCTGAAAATATTGGATGTGCTGTGCACTTATATTCTGGTCACGTAAGACTGTGCTCCTGACAATCTAGAAAGGAAGCTTAATAGATCCATCATCGATCAAGAAGGGACCACAGTATTCTGCCACGCAAACAGGACTAGGATAGTCCACAGGGCAAAAAAGGCTGTGCCACTGCACCATAATATCTAACATGACAAATACAATTTATGGAAGTCATCCCCTATCTGTTACATGGCAGTGGTCACAGCAAAGCAGTCAGACAAGCAATGTTCCAGCTTGTAATCTCAGGAGCCAGAAACCTGTAAATAAGTGATAGTGATTCTTCTATTAAAAAAGAATCCTTCTCCAGAGTTACATTTTTTTCCAGTTTCCTCTGAGGTTTGTACAATCAGGGTATGTGAAAACTAGCTTCATCTTTTCCCCAACTTTTCCTCTGTTGGCAAACTCACATTTCAAGGTTCCCTGAATCTTCTAACAAGATGAAATAAACGTGCTTCCTACATACACACCCCCAACAGTTTTGCTGGGAACATGAGACATGGCAGCCAGCCAGAGACAATTTTCCTATCAAATTACTCAGTCTTTATAATTTAAAATAGAGAAATCTTGTATTTCCTACCACAATCTGCTCACTACTAGATGAGGAAGAAAAAGAAGAAACACATAATTTTAAGCATTCTTTGTCAAAAACGTATTTTCAGAGACACCTGCCTTCATGCAGAGTATAGTCTTGCTGTGACCTTCCAGGGTCCTGAGAAGCAGCCCGTTCCGTGCATCTCGCACGCTGATGGTGCAGTCGTAGGAGCCCACTACCAACAACTTGCGTGCTCCTTCCTGAGCTGTGGCGAGACAGCTCACTGCTCTAGGGCCATGGCATTCAAAGGTATCAACCTGTTTGTTGTTCTGTTGCAGAAGGAGAAAAATGCTGTTTAAGAATTAAAACTTTGCTATGACACTGACTAGACGACTGAGTCCTTTTTGCGTTGTACTTGTTATAGCATCCGATTTCAGTTTAGTAACACACCATTTCAGCAGTAGTAGAGATGCATCTTAACAAGTAAGTTTCCAAATCAAGGAAATAACTCCTTATGTTGGGCTTCGATTTTCTGTCTTTTAAAAAAATATTTCATTATTTAGCAAAGGTCCAGCCAATCCTCCTTCTGAGTTAGAACAACAACAGGAAATAGTGTTATGAGAAAAACGCAAAACAGAATAAATTTGTAAGGATAAGTTTAAGAAGTTAGTCTAGGATCCATGAAAAGAATAATCAGAAAAATAATTTATTTAAATAATGATTTGTATTCACTTTTATCATGGGAACTGTTGATTAAACCTCTTTGCCAGAAAGTGAATGAATCTCTTCTATAACTGCAAAGGGAGCAGGCAAAACCAGCAACACATTAAAGTGTCTCACACTACTTTGATGGGCAAGAAAGGAGAATTCACAAATAATCAACTGTGTCAGAAAAGTCTCATGGCACATGACTGGTAGGCCAGGTGGAACCTTAAGGAAAAACGTGACAACACAGTGGTTAAGAGAGAGGTAACTGGAGGGAAGGGGAGATGGGACAGCTTCATGCACTGACAAAATAAAGGATCAAAAGGGGCTCACAGTGACCATTTATACCAAAATACTTTAATTACAAATATGCTTACTACTCAAGAGAAAGAATGGAAACAAACACAAAGTGGAGAGAAACAGCACTGCAACAGGCTTTTAGGCGCCAATATTTAAACAAGCTAACCTTTATGCTGAAAGTAACCACACTGCCATTTGCAAGGCCTGCATAAAGGATTCGCCATCTACTGTGTAAACAGAGCACTCGATCTTCCAGTTTAAACTGTTCCATGCACTCTCTGGTCTGGCAACAAAAAGAAATATTTAAAGCTTTTCATTAACTGAAAACAATTCAGGGAAAAAAGCCTGAAGTGAATGACAACTTTCACCTACAAGCTGCATTTTTTGAACCAACAGAGCTGGAGAAAAACATGTAAAAATCTGGCATCACATGGCACTTTGATCCTGGTTTTAATCAGATCACTCAATCCTGGTTTTAATCAGCTCACTCCCATCTTGGAGACTTGCCTGTACTTCAATAACCAGTTATAACCCTAAAAGCTTTATTCTAGTCACAACTGCTAATGTACATAGAAGTCTAGCCTACAGACTATCTATCTATATATATATGAAAAATACCCTGTTACATGCTTGGGTTTGAGGAATCCCCATGAAGTCTTCCACAGGGAAGGGCCATGAATCATCAGCTTAAGAGTCAAAAACCTCCAGCAGTTTGCCCCCTGAAGCAGATATTTCACAGAATCATAGAATCGTCAAGGTTGGAAAAGACCCTTAAGATCATCGAGTCCAACCGTCAACCTATCACTGCCAAGTCCATCTATACCATGTCTTCTAGCACCACATCTATCCGTTCTTTAAATACCTCTAGGGATGGAGACTCAACCACTTCCCTGGGCAGCCTGTTCCAATGCTTGACCACCCTCTCGGTGAAGAAGTTTTTCCTAATATCCAACTTAAACCTCCCCTGGCGCAGCTTGAGGCCGTTGCCTCTCATCCTATCACTTGTTACTTGGGAGAAGAGACCGACCCCCACCTCGCTACAACCTCCTTTCAGGCAGTTGTAGAGAGCGATAACGTCTCCCCTCAGCCTCCTCTTCTCCAGACTAAACAACCCCAGCTCCCTCAGCCGCTCCTCATAAGACTTGTGCTCCA